ACCCCCAAGACCACAATGAACTCAATCCACCTTAAGACCATTTCGTAGTCCAGCACCCCAAAGACCACCCTACCTTGTGCCTCGGTCAGCTAGGTGGGTGAGGACTGGTGGATCCTGGGCTGTACCCGAGGCGCCCTGTGCTCCCTCAAAGGTCACCTAGTCACCTCCCTCTTGTTTGATACGCTGTGTTAGTGGTCACGTTAACACAGCGGCAGCCATCCACTGTGTTGAGATTAAGAGGTCAAACCCTGCCATTATTAGGACTGTTTTGATTGTGTGTGTGTGTGTGTGTGTGTGTGTGTGTGTGTGTGTGTGTCGTTTGTTAGTGGTCTACACGGCTGTACTGAGCTGGAGAAAATGAGGTCATTTTCTCTGCATCACATATCTAACTTAAGGAATCACACGATATTGTTTATGAATTACAGTAAATAATCGACTTTATGAAACATTATTAAACACTCGACATCTTGAGGATATTTACACGACGTCTTGGCTGTGTATTCGAGTAAGTGTCGTCCATTAAACCCCCTCTCTTAGCCTGTGTCTCTATTATCAGGTGTATCTGTATATTTAATAAATCGTCCCTTATAAAGTGTTGTGATTAGACGACGTGCAGACAGTGAGGCGGCGCTTTGGTGGTGGGGGGATGAGAGAATGGGGGGTGGTTGATGAGAGATGAGGAAAGAGAAGAAGAAAGAAAAGGGATTTGGAGGAGAATGGAAGGGAAGAGGTGTAAAAAAAAATGAAAGTTTTTGATGAAGAAGATAGGGAGAAGAGAGGGAAAGTAAATGACAAGAGAGTGTTAAAAGACTCGGGAATAGAAGAAGAAGAAGACAGTGAGATGGAGAAGTTTTTAGGTCTGAAGTTAGGTTTCTTTCTTTGTATGAGTATCCAGTTTCTAGGGAAGTTTTCGTAAGTGTGTGGGAGGAGGACTAGAGACCGGGGCTTTGTGGCGGTGTCAGACAGTACACAGCGGATGTCTCGTGTGTGAGTGTGTGTGTTAAGCTCTTCCTGTCGCAGCTGTGATATTTAGCTGTGACATTTTGCAAAGATTGATAATAGAATAAAACTTTTATTATTATTATCATTATCATTAGTGTTATGGCAGGGTTATGACCTTGGGGTGTTGGAGCTGTTTTGCCATAGTAAACTCGTAATGAAACTTACTATGATAGTAATTAGTGATATATAATATTGTTGTGTGACTAATAACGTTATTCGAGCTGCTGGTGTTGGGTTCTTTGTGGGTCTTCTCCCGGGTGGTAATGCTGTATATGTTTCTTGTTATATAAATACTGTTGTTAAGTTTGTATTGTGTTTGTGAGTTTCTTTAATAGACAATAAAGTAAAACGACTCGTAATCAGCGTCAGACTTGTCGTAGTAACCTAACCTAACCTCACCACACCTAACCTTACCTCACCTCACCTAACCTAACCTACCTCACCTCACCTCACCTCACCTCACCTCACCACCTCAACCCAACTTTTATTTCTAACTATTTCGAGGTTGGTGGTGATGGCATTTTTACTGTATATTATTTTTTTTCCCTACGTGTGGTGTTTTGTCTCGGCGGAAGGAAGCGAAGTCTCGACGGTGTTGCTTGGAATGTTGATGTGTGTGACTGTGTGTGTGTGTGTGTGTGTGTGTGCGTGCGTGTGGCGTGCGTGTGCGTGTGCGTGCGTGCGTGCGTGCGTGTGTGTGTGTGTGTGTGTTACCTTTATTTTATGTTATATCGGGTAGTTAGTAATTGTGGTGTATCGTGTTCCTGATCGGTGTGTCGTGTTGATTGGTGTATCGTGTTCTGATCGGTGTGTCGTGTCCTGATTGGTGTACCATGTTCTGATTGGGTACCATGTTCTGATTACCCGGTCAAGGAAAAACATTACCTTCCCCAGAACCTATTGAAGAAACCACTTAATAACAGTACCGTACATAAGAATATATAGTGAAAGTTTCTTCCATCAGTTCTTGTTACACTTTGTTTACTTATTATACTGTGTGACTTAATGTACTGATATGGGGGTTAACTGCTTGACGAGGGGGGTGTTTTACGTGTTGAAATGACGACTCCAGTTCAAGCGGTATGGAGCAGTCAGGGAGGGTAGGGTGGAGGTACTTAGAAGATGGAGGAGGTCAGGAGGTAGGGTGGAGGTAGGGATGGAGGAGGGTCAGGGGTGGGGGGATGGAGGAGATCAGGGAGGGTAGGGTGGAGGTAGGGATGAAGGAGGGGTCAGGGTGGGGGGATGGAGGTGGTCAGGGAGGGATGGGTGCGAGGGAGGGAGAGGGGGGAGGGGGGAACACCAGAGAAGCACTCACTGCCTTCTTAACAATGGCATTAGCCGCTATTGACATGCCCGTAAGATGGTCGACACGGATCCTGGTGCCGTGTGAATAGTAATCCTGGCGCTGTCAACACGGTGTCCGGCGGGGAGATATAGAGGGTGGCGGCGAGCTGAATGTGTGTGTGTCAAAGAGTACTAGTGTGGTGGGAAGGGAAGTTTATAAGTGTCCATATATATATCGTTATTTGACTTAACTATGTTTTAGTGGCTACTGAGCATGAATCAGGGTAAATTACCATTAAGGGTCGCTTGCGGCCTGGCAGCTGCGGCAGGGGGTCGAGGTAACCGCAGAATCTGCCACTGCACTGTAATTGCGTAACCGCAGGATACACCACTTCTCACGTCTTGTCTTACCGCAGTAACCAAGCTGCATATTTAAAAAAAAATTATATTTCATTAAGCGAAGACAACCGCATTTTAAAGAAGTTTTGCTTCAGTACACATGAACAAGAAACATTTAATTATGTTTATAAAATTTAACGCACACGAGGAAAACTTTATGTCAAAAGAAACCGAGGCGAAAAATGTAATGATATTTTGATATTTGTACAAGACAGCATTATAGTGACCGACAACACATGGCCTGCTCTACAGTACACTACGAGTGGGAGTTTCGCTTCTCTAGCTCTCATAATATTTTATTTATCTTGCGTCGTTTTCCGTTAATTTCATTTTTTCTTTCTTTTCATTATTTTTCATAAAAGTTCTTTCTTTCTGACATTGTTATAATAATTCTCAGTTTCCGTGGATTTTTTTAACAGTCACCTTTGAGTCTGTGATGATTGTGTATATATTTTCCTGTATCGTGAGGACAGATAACACTGGTACACCCCGCGCTGGACTCTGTCGTTATAACCCGGGGCTCAGTTGTGTATCAGGGAGGAATTATCTGTCCGTAGTGATTACCACCTGTCTAACACGTCGTTTGTATTTCTGTCCAAAACTACAAGACCGTCAGCTGGGTTACTTAAAGAAGTCTCTCTCTCTCTCTCTCTCTCTCTCTCTCTCTCTCTCTCCTGGCCTAGTTGAACACCTCGCTTTGTTGAAATTAAATATTTTTTTTATTAGCCATTAAAAACATCCTTTAACCAGATAATTAACTTTTTTTGCTCTAATAACATGTAACGTGAAAAAATATTTGTTATTTAAGGTTAACTTGATGATGAAATAATCTCCGCCCTCAGTAGCAAACAAACGACTTTCAGGAGACGCGCGGAGCTGATCCTCTGGCCAGCGATGCTTTGTAAGCCTGTGTATACAATGCTTTAATGTGTGTGTGTGTGCTCTGTGTATGTTTACATGTGCACGGATCTATGTGTGTGTGTATTTGTATGAGTATGATGTTTACGTATATAAATTTGTGCTTATGCCTGTCTGTGTGTGAGGAATGTAAGTCATCCAGTTTAGCACATTTCCAAAAGGAGGATTTGAGAACAGTACTTACTCTACCGTATATCTTATTGCATTTATTATTATTATTATTATTATTATTATTATTATTATTATTATTATTATTATTATTATTATTACATGTAGTTGTTCCTCTATTCCTTGTAATGCTCAGGATCACACAAGAGAGTTTGAAAACACTCCTCTTGACCACTACAACTCATCAAGCACTGGGCCGGAAGTTAAAATATATGCCTTTGTGATATATCTGAAATATGTTGTAATTATATTGTCGGATAAAACTATTGTAAGTATATGTATGTTTATGTATCCCCTGGGGTGATAGTAAGTAGGTCCTGGGGTGCTGGTAGGTAGGTCCTGGGGTGATAGTAGGTAGGTCCTGGGGTGCTAGTAGGTAGGTCCTGGGGTGCTGGTAGGTAGGTCCTGGGGTGATAGTAGGTAGGTCCTGGGGTGCTAGTAGGTAGGTCCTGGGGTGCTAGTAGGTAGGTCCTGGGGTGCTAGTAGGTAGGCTGGGGGGTAGGTAGGTCCTGGGGTGATAGTAGGTAGGTCCTGGGGTGCTAGTAGTTAGGTCCTGGGGTGCTGGTAGGTGGTGCTGATAGTAGAGGTCCTGGGGTGATAGTAGGTAGGTCCTGGGGTGCTAGTAGGTAGGTCCTGGGGTGCTGGTAGGTAGGTCCTGGGGTGATAGTAGGTGGTCCTGGGTGATAGTAGGTAGGTCCTGGGTGCTAGTAGGTAGGTCCTGGGGTGCTGGTAGGTAGGTCCTGGGGTGATAGTAGGTAGGTCCTGGGGTGATAGTAGGTAGGTAGGTCCTGGGGTGCTGGTAGGTAGGTCCTGGGGTGATAGTAGGTAGGTCCCTGGGGTGCTAGTAGATGGGACAGGCTGTAACTATTTTATACAGGATTTAAGAGACAGTGGGGTTCTTTGTCTGTATGAGGGTTAGGGGGGGGGTCGTTGAGACTGAACGGTAAACCGGAAGGGAACAGAGGTAGATGGAGCGGGAAGACAACTAGACGGGAAGACAATAAGTAATTGAGTGGGTAAAACGGGTAGACTTGTGGTAAGACAGGTTGACGGGAAGGCAGCTAAACATGAGAAGACAGGTATTACTGAGCGGGTAAGACAGGTAGACAGGGGAGACAGAGACAGGTAGAAGGGTGCAGCGTAGGTGTTAGCCAGGGCAGGAGTCAGGGCGGGAGTGGAGCGAGTGGCTGCTGGTTCAGGATTCTGGCGCCGCGCCGAGCTAATATTATTGTGTCATTTTTAGCCGGGTGGCGTTGGCAGCGGTGCCAGGGCGAGGGAGTTGGGAGCAGGAGGAGGCGCAGCAGCGGCCGCCAGACGTGCCCAGTAGTGTGGTGTCCGGAGTCAAGCGTGTGCTTCCTGAGCAGTGATCCTCGCCCCGCAGCCTGGGATGTGCTGGTGCAAGTGTAGTGTTAGTAAGAGCACTGAGAGCACCCGTGAGCAGTGGTGGGCCACAGTGAAGAGTGGTACCAGTAGTGTGTGCTAGTGTAGTGGTGTGTGAGAGGTGCCCTCACACCAGGCACCGGTGATGGCGCGCCCGTGGCGCCCCGGCTATTATGGTTGAGAATGTGCGCGGCCAGTGCGGGCGTGCGGCGGTGACCAGGGTCGCCAGTAGTCGTGTGGAGTTGCGTGCGTGCCGTGTGCGTGCGTGCCGCGGCGTACACGTGGTGGGCGTAAGTTCGTGCGCCGCGCCCGCGCCCTGTCCCGCACACTATGGACTGTGTGTCCCTGTGGTAGTCAATATTACGGATCCAGCAAATGGACTAGGAACTGTCCAGCCCGATAAAGAGGCCATTTTGAAAATAGTGGCAGCCAACCGTAAGAAGTTTGCAGCCAAGAGAAGTGCAGAGTCAGGAGGGGAGGAAGTAAAGAAACAGTCGGTACAGGTGCAGCACCTGTCCTCATCGCCGGCAGCCACCCCCTCGCCCCCGCCTGGTCAGCAGCGGCAGCACCAGCAAAAGGAGGCCCAACCCCTAGGGGTTCATGTAGAACGTATAGCGCGTGCCGTACAGCGGTGGGCGCAAGGCTTAGATAAAGAGGAGAAGGAAGATCATTTCCAGAAGGAAGATCGCCAATACGAGAAGTTAGTGGGCACGCTGGCCGAGCTGGCTGCAGAGAAGCGGGCAGGGCGCGTGGCCCCTGGCCCGGAGCCGCCCAAGGGCGCGCCACGTCATCATGAGGCAGTTCAACTGTTTTCTGAACTCATGCAGACCGACGACGTCTCCACTATAGCGGCACAGATCGCTAATCAAGCCGAACTTATCTACCAGACGTGGAAGACAACCGGCCTGAACCCCAGCGAGCTTATCCGGTACCACAGCGTTACCTCAGAGGGCAGCCTGTTCGACAGGGGCGAGCAGGCTGCTGTGGGAGAGCCAAGCTCCGCCGGGTCGCTTTCAGTCACAGTCAAGCCACGCACACCCGCCAGGAGCATCAGTCCCGCCCCGCCCGGCTCCTCACCAGCAGTACCTAGGAAGCTATTGGAACCCTCACTCCACAACGGCAGGCCCCACGCCGCCTCTCCTGTCCGTACCCTCAACACCTCCCCGCGTCCCTACGTCCCCCCGGGCTCCTCACCCCAGTCGCCCGGTGTCCAGCAACAGCAGCCTCTGTATCCCAACAATAACGTTGCTCAGTCAGCCCCACAGTCTCCCCGTCAGGCTTACTCCTCGCCTACATCTCCCTTGCTGACACAAGTTAGCCCACGACCCTACATAGCCCCCGCGGCTCCCCAGTCTCCTCGGGGTACTCTTACCCAGCCACCGCCGCCCCCGGAGAGGTCCTCTTCTTACTCTGGGGTTGATCCTTCTCAGCAGCAGCAGGATAGTTCCCTTGAATTCCTAGCAGATCCTGATTTAGAAGCGTCTCTGCAAGAACTGGTCAACTCTTTTGTGCTAGAGGATAAGGCGCGTCACCACGCCGCAGCGGTCGCCGCCCTGGCTTCGCAACGTCCAAAAAGCGCGCCCTCGTCCATCCAGGAGGCGCTCCAGAGGTTTGAGCGACAAATGGCCATAACTTCTCGTGCGGCCGCTCACGCTGCTGATCACCTCACCGGCCCCCCATCTACAGTGTCTTCACCCAACACTATGGGCACCATGGGACGGTTTACTCAACAGCAGATGGTCAATATGGCCAGCAGTGGTATGAGTATGAGCAATGCCAATGTAAGTAGCCCAAGCAGTAACGCTAATGTCAGCCCAGCTGGCAGACGTTATGGTGGAGCGAGAAGCGACTCCTCAGTGTCGACGGAGTGGTCGCGAATGCAGACTGAACACGAAAACCGAAGCCGTCGTTCCGCTTCTCCCAACCCACCGGTGTCTCAGCCAGGCTGGAACGAAGGACCTGCACCTAACACCTCTACCTGGCCACTGAAAAATAAACAACCAACTATCGTTGAGAGAAAATCAAAACAAAGTCATGCTTCTTCCTCACACGTCTCCTCGTCTACTTCAACATCCTCCTCATACTCGTCTTCTACCAGTAGTACTTCAACTTCCACCAATTACATCACGACCCTGGAGGCGCGGGTGGAAAGCTCTGGGAGCCAAAAGTACTCGGGAGTGCCGCTTCGCCATAAAGTTGTGACCATGGCTGCCGTCGACCAGGAAGAAGAACGCCTCATGCACGCCCTGCGAACCGGCACACTTATTGATGACGGCGACCACTTAAGACCCATTGGTCAGGTGCGGCCCATGTCTGCACCTTCCCTCCCCGCTTCGCTCCCTGTTAACAACACTATCATCACCAGCGGCACCAACAATAGTACCGCACCACACTCTGAGACCACCGAGCTGCCTGCTCAGAGCAGGAGACCTAAGTATTCCATCAGTGTAACCGTGGATGTTGACAAGCCGACAGAAGTCCACCAACAGCGGGTCCAACAACAACAACAACAACAGGGACAACAACAAAAGATGCAGCTCCAGCCACAGATGCAGCAGCAGCAACAGTCACAACAAAATATACAACACCAAATACAGCAGCAACAAGCACAACAGAATATCTTAAGGCAACAAATGCAACACCAAGAAATGCAACAGACCATCATCAGGCAGGCATCAGGCGGAGGCAGTCCACGAGATTCTCCTGGACGTGTGGTGGGCAAGGCAGTAGAAGGAGACATGTCGGTGGTGGACTTTGCTAAGGTGCGATACCAGGAGTCTCAGCAACACCCACACTCCTCGCAGCGGCTGGACGACTACCGCAACATCTCCTGTAAACAGATCGTTAACGGGGACGGCCGCGTCATGATGGCACGGACCCGTTTTGAGAACGGCAGCACTTCATTATCAGACTCCATGTGGAGGGGGACTCATGGTATCCACGCGGATGAAGTGGGTTCCACTTTGCCTGAGTTTTACCGACGTAAGTTGCGTAAGATGAGGAAAGCAGGGTCACCGGAGCCGTTGGTAGCGGGCAGTATTTCGACTCTGCCTCACCCCGAGCTGACTGACCAACAAAAGGCTCACATCAGAGAGAGGTCTCAGTCTCCTACCACCGGGTATAACAGCGCCGGGGTGGCCATCAGACCCTTCCTCACTCAGGGCAGCGTGGCTGAGCGGGTCCTCATCTTCGAGCGCGCCCCAGCAGAGATGAAGCCCAAGCCTGGAGCGCCCACTACAGCCATCCAGGAGAAGCGCCGTCCAGCTATCTCCACCTGGCGTGACCCTGATGAGGTTCGCTCCCTTGCCCAGGTGAGTTTTCATCACCAGATGTGTTACACAGGTGCACGCACATCCTCACCACACACTCCCCAACCCATTATCATACGTGTCCCCCATACAAACTTTACCCATTACCTGCCCGTCATGTCCACCACAGCAGCTCTTTAATACAAGTTATTAAGAGACATATACCCTGACTTGACCGCCATAGATATTAGTCGAATTTTGTCCATCACAGACTCGTGGTTACGCTCCCTAGTACATATCTGCCACAGAAAGTTCCCAGCACACACACACATTGCCTACGCGAGAGTGACATCCTCTGCAAACTTTGAGAGTATGATTCACTCAGAAGCAACAAACACGACTCACGCTTGCATACAAAAACAGGAATGAATTACACCAGGATAATTGTCAGAAAAAAGTAACACTCGTTGGATAAAACAGGAAACAACATCTGAGATATTTCACTCGTAAAAATCACTGGAGTTGCAACTACCACTTAGAAACACACCCGGGCTACAATTACACGAGTATTTATGATGGGAAGTTTGTATTGACACACACACACACACACACACACACACATACATATATTGATGCCATTGGTAGAGAGAGAGAGAGAGAGAGGTCATATGACCACACACACACTAGGTCAGGGTCATGGCTTGTACTAACACCACCTGAATCACTGACCATAGGATGATTCACTCCACCCAGAGGTTAACAGAGAGAGAGAGTGTTGTTGTGTCGCTCATGATGTGTCTTAAAATAATTCTTCTATTCATATCTGACTAAATAATAACCCCTTCTAATTACCTTCATTTAACTAAAGAATATCACCTCTTGTCATATATAACACCTTCAGGGTAACTCGTGGGGCAGGGAGTCATTCAAACAGGTGTATTGTTGTGGGGCTCAGAGATGCCCATGTGAGGAGAGAGAGTGACCAGGTCTTCTCCTTAGTTTAATGTCAAGTAGGTTTAGTCGACCTTGTTGTGGGCCCCTCCTTCCCAGGTGACACACAACACCCCCCTCCCCCCTTCCTCCCAGACACTGCCAGAATTCCCAATGACACACGACACCTGGCTGGCTGGCTGGAGTGAGTGTCTAGTCTACCTGTTGATGACCGGACCATTCGCGAGTGTTACAGGTGAGCTGGAAAGGTTAGGTGGGTGTAAATTGTAAATATGCTTTGGAGGAGGATTATCATTTTTTGTGGTGTAAGACTCTAGGTGTAAATTGTAAAAAGAAAAATCGTGAGTAATATTTATTGTTAGTGATGTAAGGCTTTTTGTAAAATATTAAACACGTATACGATAATTATTTCCTTTGTGATGTAAGACTGTGGCTGTAAATTGTAAACAACATAATAGGGTAAAATATTTATTTGTGGTAAATAGCAAATTGTTCCGTGTTGTAGGTGATACTTAAGAAACTTGTACAATGAGAGCAGCTGTTAATGGATAGTTATTACTTAAGTTAATTACGTATATAATAGTCTGAATGGTGTGTGTGTGTGGGGGGGGGGGTTATTGGCACAAATGAGTTGGGCCGCAGAAAACGAACATATCCTCTGCGCCAAGTTAATACGATTTGAATTAAATTATGTAATTAAAAATAATGAAATAATTACTAAAATTAAAAACAAAATGGAAACTGACGAGAGATGCAGAAGATGTTGTAAGTTGAACACATCCGGGGGTCGTGAAATTACCTCGGCAGAAATCACTTACAAGGTGCGTTAATTACTCTCTTGCAGGTGGAGTAACGTGTAGTTGTGTCTCGCCAACTACATAACTCGGCCGGTACAAATTAGTATAACTGTGTAATGGCTTAAGTGTGAAATTAGATGAGAGGAAAACCTTGAGACAGTTGAAACAATCACAAGAAGGAAGAGTGAGTGAGAGAGAGGGTAGTCTAGCGTAGATCAAGAAGGACTGACACACGACCTCTTCTCCTGCTTCTCCTCCTCTCCTCTTCTTCCTCTCCCTTGTGTGACATAACTTACAAATTACATCATACTTTCTGGAGATATTTTCGTAGGTGCACTAACAAGGCAGAAACACCCCTTCCCCCTTCCCCAGACTTATAAAGCAGCTGCAAAATGTTGAACTTTTTTCGGCTTATTGTTTTCCTTCCAACACCATATGACTTAAACACAATATAGTTGAAGTGGGAGGAACAGAGAGTGATTGACTAGAGCTGGGTGGTGGTAGTGGTGGTAATGGTGGCAGTGGTGGTAGTAGTTTTGAAGTGTAAACATGTCATTGGTGTAGAAATATAAGTTGTGTATTGCTTTTTGGGGGAAGTGATGGTCGGCAAAGATTAATATGTTGTGAGGTCAATATGACAGTGAATCTACCTTGGGAATTAATGTTTCAGTTATCGGGGTTCTGGTCCTGTGTGAAAATAAGGAAGATGGTGATGGAGGGAGACCTTGGTGAGTCGTGAGTGTGGGTGGTGCTGGATACTCTTCAGTTTGTGATACAAGTTGAACAGAAAACCTGTTAAGTATTTCTGGAATTGCTATGATTGACAAGCAAGTGAATTGTGATGTAAGGAAAATATATAGGATGGAAGAGTTGGTAGAAAGTCGAAAGTTGATTGGGTGAAAGTATATTGAGATGCTGTGGACACGTAGGTGGTGTGATGAATGGCGGGAGCTGATTCATAATGCTGTAGAGATAGTGTCCAGGTGATGGGCATAGTGAGAAGTGAAAGTGGGCCCCATAGGCATGACTGTCCGTTAGGGACAGTGTGGATACAGCACACTGTATACCAAGCCTTCGGTGCACACGGATGCAGCATGGCCGGTACTGCACTCGACTGTATTTACTTCCCGAAGCTGTAAACTTGGGTACCCATTTACAGCTGGGTGAACTGGGGGTGTTGTATTTAGTCAAGGGAACAAAGATGGGAGACCGTAAGAAAATATAAGAGGAAATGGTGAGGCGGCTCTCATAGTCGACTCATTATTATTTAGGAACAGTTCAGGTCCTGTTGACGCTTATTGATTAACTGTTCACTGTTCTGAGTCGAGGAAGTAAACATAAACTTCTAAATTATTGTTGTGTTGTTTGGCTCTCAGTTGTTCTGTTGCAGTTTATTTTGTGCACCTGATTCGCCCAGTATAGACGAGGGAGGAGTACGGTAGATTTAGACAGTAAATAAATTCCGTGATCAGTGCGTGGGCAGGTGTGATGGTGGAGTTAGACCCGGGGGTGTGGGGGGGTGGCAGGGACTGAGCGACGCATATGGAGGAGTGGACGCGTGCCAACTGTTGCTGCCGCTGCTGCAACCTCTGATGTGTAGCTGCCAGGTTGGTGGCCAGCTGCCTCGTCTCCTCTACTCTGTAGCCATGTGGTTCCTCTTGCCTCTACGACCAGTACCTCAGATGGATATTTTAGGGCCTACAGCCAGTGTAGCTATCGTGGTGGTAATGTAAATTTGTCAGTTACCTTTTGTCTCCCCCAGCTGCTGCTGCTTCTGTTAGAGCTTCTAGTAGCCATAAGTGTGTTGTCGAGGCGGTGAGGGAAACTGAAATAGGTTGCCTCCTGTACGTCACCCGGGGAGTTTGTAATGGCTATTTTGCTTTTGGTGTGTTGGCTCAAGGTGAGTTGGTTGAGGGTCTGGATGGGCGAAGAGTCAAGCTAGTGTCTGTTAGAGTGAGCCAAGTGTCTTCTGGTGCGGGGGTGGGAAGCCTCTGTACTTGTGGCACTGTCTGGCTCTGTGTATTGGCACTCTTGCTTCTGTCAGTGTCGCAAGCGACCTCATGCACTCACTTTCCTGTTTACATCCATCGTCTTGGTGTCTGACGTGTCACGCTCACTCCTCTCGTCCTCCGTGTTGACTTGTCCTCACTCCTTTCCTTCCTGTTTCCGGTATCAGTATCGTTTATTACATTAATATTACATCATATTTATTTGTTTACTTTGTTTACTTATATTTATTTGTGATTAAACGTTTTGGATCTTTCATAATGTAGAGTGAAAGGTGACAACAACTATGGTATGTTGACTACAAGGTGTAACACTGGGGGTACCGACACTCAAGATGTACACTACCCCTCACACACACACACACACACACACACACACACTCACATGATTTATTCGCTCACTCGCGGCAGCATTTTCTGTCCTGCCCTTCAACAGATGATGATTTATTTGACGTAACATAAGACAGTGTGACATGGTCTTGTCATGCGCTAGTTAACTTCTGCATTACCAGCCACCACTCGGATTCTTATAAAAATTCGTGCCATGATATTTTCCCCATAACTTGAATGCATGAACACGTCTTACGCTATACCACACACAAAAACAGTATTAAAAATGGAGTCAGAACCACTCCGAGACTCTACCATAATAATTACGCGTCACTGAGGAAGTTGCAAACATCTCACTAATAAATAATATTCCATGTACGATTCTTATCACAAACTACACACTGGATGTTAAATTTCACTTACATAAAAAGTTTCAAGGTTTAGAAACTTAATTTTTAAACGTACGAAGCTTATGAAAACTAGCCCCTGGATGATAAATTTACCATCAGCTTCTAGGATCTCGGGAGTACCTAAGCTTACTTATGGAGTAATAAAAACAGAAAGGGAAATTGGGTGTAAGGTTATGGGTTTATTGAGAGAGAGAGAGAGAGAGAGAGAGAGAGAGAGAGCCTGTCAGGACCATTTGGCTGTGACAAAGAGTGGCTTGGATGTATGGTCCTCTTTGCTTATCTCTGTCTGATGCTTAATTAACTAGCCTTTAATCGCGTTGGTGTACTCATTAGACTTGAGAACTAGCAGTGACAGTTGTTCCTCCTCTAACACGGTCATGCACTCTAACGATGGCCTGGATACTAATAGTTCCTTACTTTAAATTGTCCCAGAACTCTGAAGGACGATGTTAAATCCAGTTCACCCCCCATACCACCCCCACTATACCCTACACCCCCATCATCCCCATAATACCCCCACTATCCCCATACTACCCCCCCACTACCCCCCCCACTATCCCCATACTACC